GTCATGGCAAAGTTCGACAGATGAATCACTGATCAATCAGCAGCACATAGGGACCAAATTAGATGAAGTTACCGGTTTCCAAAAGAGGTGAAGAGACCTCTTTCGCATATAGTAAACTGCAACAGTTTGGAATCACTGTAACATCCCCCTAAAACGAGTTTGTGGCTGTACAACGTTGCCATTCTGATTATGTTCAGCTACTGGACGGAGACGTAGGCGGTGATTCGAAAACTGAACCCTTTTTATTGGAGTTGCCGCTGGAGAATCCTTTAGGAACAGATTCCAAATACTGAACTGTTAGAAAGAACGGGGGCACTCTGCATCTTAACGGTGTTGAAGCAGATCCAACTATGATGGAGCTGCGCATCACGAGGAGTGAATATGCAAAACACCACTTGAGATACACACGTCTCTTTTTCGTTTCAAAAGGCTAATACTCGCAGATACTAATCACATGTGAAACTATTGCAGGGTTTAAGAGGACTGGCAGGGAAACGCTATCGTGTTTAACACAGGCCTTGACAATGAAGTCCTTGCAATATCTAGTCTTCCTGTTGAAAAGCTATGGCGAAGTCAAAGAAGCGGGCTACCATCTACAAAAAAAAACCTTCTTGTTCAGCAACTTGTCGTACGACAAAAGTTAGGACCCGTCATTGGGAAACCGGCCCAGGCTATTTAATATTCATGCATACACAGAAGAACTAAAACGGTTGGAGAGGATGGTCGAAGATGTTTCTACTAGGCCGAGGACTTGATTGTTGTGAAGTAAAAAGGGGGTTAAACAGGATGACTTCAGTTCGGTGAAACAGACCCAGTAACAAATTACGTGAAAATTTTCGACAAATTCATAATTTAGACCACAATAATCTTTCTGGGTTTCCGCTAGGAGTTGGCTTAATTGGGAGCTTTTGATGCTCATAATTCAATATCAGAGGTTTGCATACAGGTATTGTTGTAGGGGAAAGCTTTAATATAAACAAGAGAACATCCACTGGGGATTGCTAGGATGAGCGGACAAGTAACTCAGCAAAACAAACTTGCAGGCGCAAACTCAGCAAGCTTAGTTCCTATCAATTTAAATAAGCGCGTTGTCTTACGGCACTCGCTTTCAACTCTGAAATTGAAACAGAGCAGACGCGAAGCTATTTGTCCAATCTGGGTGGGTGGGCAGAGCCTGAGGGGCAGAGTACTCAGGCGTAGTGATTCTTTACCAAAGT